CAAAGACATCAAACTGTTAAAGAGTCAAAGAAGATGATACAAAGGCATGAATCTTTCTGTTTCAGGATGTTTCTGCTCGAACTCGGTAGATGGCTGTGCTATCTCTGATTAAAAAAACCCACCAACCGGGGAGAGGTTTCACCTTGAATTAGAGTCCCACTCTGTGCATCTCCACAGCCCTGCTCCAGCAACCAGGAGCTGTTAATTCATCATTGATTTATGGTCACAAAGGTACCTGTGAGGTTCAGGCGCTCACAATTCATGTGTTGGGAAAGTGCCATTAAATCAACATTTGATCAATACTCTTTGGATGACTGTGCTCACTTTCCCAAAGGAATATTTTAAATCAGATGAGGACTGGAGAACAATCTCCTTTTGATCTGACCTCTGCACCTCAGCAGATGACTGATTTTCTCCTGTGATTGTAATAAGAGCAGCACTGTGCTCATTAAAACCACTTTTCCTGGAGGGAATGTGAATTTTAGATAGAAAACGGTGAATTGTTAAAGCTTACAGTAGTATCTGAGATATGTGGAGATAAGAACACAGCAACCTTAAGTTGAATTATGTTATTTTCGTAAGTTGATGATCATGAGCTGTGCTGAGAGCAGATAAACTCATTTTCATTGTCTCCAGGTTATTGTGTTATTTAATGTTTTTGATTACACAAACAAAATTCTCTTCTTTCTTTTTAGCTATTTTATGTAAATTTTCTTACTCTCTGATCTCCTCACAGATGGTCTTAGTAACTATCAGCATTTAATCAGCTGCTTATCTCTTTCCTGAAATGGTTTGTTTTATCCCTCATCCCTCGTTCTGTTTTGTCCCTTGGTTTTACAGCTATGACAGCCCCTTTTGATTTCAGTTAATTTAATGCAGTCATTTTGTTTCACATCCACCTACTTCTTGTCCGTAAAGCTGGAATGTGCTGGCTTTTGTCTTAATAAATGTTGCTTGAATGTAACATGGGGTTTTCTTCTCTCGGGGTATTTTTCCCTGCTCCCGGCTCGGAATGCCACATTGTTTTCCAGAAAGATTGGAGCTGATATTTACCACATTTTCTGAATCTGATCCAAGCTAAACAGGACTTCACGTTTAAAGCATCTTCTAATCATTTTTGATTTTTAAGATTTCTCAAAATTGAAAAAAAAAGTGACTCTTCCTTCTGCTGGGCTCGCATTTTCTCATTCTAAGAAGAATCCCTTGACTTTGTTATCTTCTGTCCCGTCAGTGAGGTTTCTGGTTTCCAGCATGTTATAGTTTAACTTTTCCACAGCCAGAGGATGAGCTGATATGTTTTCGGTGTCATGACAGTTTCTAGTGAATTACTGATTTAAACAACAAGACTTGACAGCTGAGAACTGACTCATAAGCCTGACTGGGAACAGCACCAGAAAAATTAAACTTTTGGAAACATTTCACACTGAGAAGCACCCTAGAAGATTAAGAGCAGACACTGTGTGAAATCGGATCACTGCTGTTTTGGAGAAAATCTTAACGATTACTTAAAAAATATGGATTAGGGTTAGGGTTACATGTCACAATATTTCCTTCTCTGATTTTGCACAGCTGATTTTAAAAACAACTCCAAGGTTTCAACATTTAAGAAATGCATAAAGATGGTCCGATCTTTTGCAGGTTTTAGCTTTACTACAATCTCTAGCAAAATCATGCACCCTCATTATTTATTCATTACTAATGAAATTAATGTAAAATAAATGTTAAAATAAAAAATACACTCCTTGTGCTTTGGTAGAACTTTCAACCACAGATGCATCCAAGTGCCATTAAATAGCAACATCAGGTGTGTGTTAGTGTAATGCCAAGTTGGAAAGACAACAACATTTACCTTAGAGAGGCAGCTGATGTGGTTCATGATTCTGGGAAATGTTATGAGGTCATTTTCAAACATTTTAAAGTTCATCATCGACAGGCAGATTTTAAAATAAATAAAAACATTTAAGACAGCTGCCAATCTTTTTAGGAGTGAATGCCAGAGCAGCTTCACCCCAGGGTCAGAATATGAAATGTTCAGAGAAATTGCGCAAAAATCTGAAGATCTCTCAAGCTTCACGGCACTTAGGAAGCATGTTAAATGTTAAAGATAATGAAAGAAAATATTGAAGAAGACTGACTTTGACTTATAAAATAGTTAAAGGGAAAGCGTCCCTTCTAGAATAAGATGACTGCAGCAATATTTAACATAGAGTTTATCAATTCTGAGTCAAAATATTTTGTTGGGAAAGAAAATTTCTGATCTGAAGCTTAAATTGATGCTATAAGTTTCTTCAGTCTGACATACCCAGCCACTGCTGATTACAGTCTTTCATGACAAAAGATGACCTCTGATAAACAGTTCATTTATCCCATCCTGAGGCAATTTCGCTGCAACAAAATGTCATGTTGTGTCGTTACGCATATTATGCAGTGTGGCAGGAGTCATGTAGAGCGGGGGTTCCCAAACATTTCAGACTATGACCCAAAAATATCAATGCAACAGAGGCGTAAAAATACATATTCACTAAATTACTTGACTCTGCAATTATCAATACATTTAAGGCCTGATCTTTAAAGATTCAAAATAGGGAGTAAATTAATAAATAATTACTAAAATGCAGAAGTAACTCCTTTTAATTATCTGCGATAAGTGTGTGTGTTGTGGGTGATCTACAAACATTGCTCCTCGAATGGTAGGATATGCAAACGAGTTTGGTTACATTGGGTGTGATACTGGCTGTTTAAAAGAACTTGAGGTTCCAAGGAATGTAGTTGGAGGTTAATATATATATATATATATATATATATATATATATATATATATATATATATATATATATATATATATATATATATATATATATATATATATATATATATATATATATATATATATATATATATATATATATATATATAATTATAACACGAGATAATATGTTTATAGCACTTCACATATTTCTAAGTACTACAGAGAAAGGTAGGAGCAAACATACAGTAAAGGGTAACCTTGCTTTGTTGAATCAATCAAGACAGAAAAAAAATCCTTGATGCAAGGAGTAAGAGATGTGAACTTTCACATGTCTCTTTCTTTTATTTAAAACATGCCACAATATTTAATTTTAGTACTTTTCTTTTATTAGTTTAATTGTTAAAAAAAAATGCCTGCCCTCTCACTGCATTAAATGTTTTTTTTTCACCTGCATACACGTATTTTCTACTATTCTAATCTCTCATGTTCCAAATATATTTACACAGACTCTCTGTCTTTCTTTTCGCATTTTACCAGCGCATCCTTTGTGGAAAGAATGACACATCACTTTCATAAGTGCAAAAAAAGATGGAAAAAATACACCCACAGCTGAGATTTTGATTTTGAAAAATCACTTTGTAGATGATGATGATTTACATGCTTTGGCCATAAAGATCTGCTCTGCATATTGATGAAGGCAATGCAAAAAAAAAAAAAAAAAAGGTTTGCACACACTCTCTGCAGTCAAGCAAACCTTCTGAGGATCAATCAGTGAAGTAGTTCCATTCATGTTTTAAGACATGCATTTTTTGAATGACATTTTATGATTATACTTTGTCCTTTAATTGGACATTGTGTTTTTTTTAATTACATTTTTAAGATAAATACATTTTAAATTTACTTATTTCATGGTACATTTCATAATTTCATGACACATCCATGTATTTTATGATACATTTTGGCCCTCCAAATTCCCTGAGGGATCACATAAAGAGAAAACACTTTTTGTCCACTTCTTGGTGTTTCCCAACCCCAGAGGGGTCCTGACCTCAACTTTGAAAACCCCTGATATAAAGGATCATATAGAGCTCACATACTGTTACATGTTTAGGTTTTCAAGGTTTTTGCCAAAAGGTATTCAAAGCATCAACTGAATGAAGAAACTTTTATGAAACAATGTCTGATGGATTAACGAAATCGATGTAGAGATGCTTGGTTATAAGGCATCACACCAAAAACTGAAAACAGTAGTACTGTATCATAGTTCCAGGAAAATATATCAATGTAAGAGGTACTTCAAGTTTAAGCTGGTAACATTTTTTAAATAATTGGCTAGATACAGTTAACTTTCTATATTTATTAAATATGTTTTTTGGGGTAAATCGATTTTTTATGCACAAAATCTTAGGTTGTGTTTTCTAAGAATAATAAACAGTAAACTTGTACTATTTAGAGCACTTTTTTGTGCAAAGTTTGGATTCGACAGATGGCCTGGCAGAGCAAAGCAAACATGTCGAGTCACATGTGTCCATCATGTAATTCTTCCTTTTACATACAGTACAAATCCATTAGACGTCTAATTGTCCCAGCCTGATTTGGGTCAGAGTGTTCAGTCTGCAGCTCAATCCTAATTAAAATAAGCGCTCATCACATAATAACAATGCAGCATCCAGGTGGAGGCTAAAAAACACAAAAAAAAGGCAAACAGATAACAGCAGCATGTGCAGGGATAAAACTCTGGAGCAGAACAGGATCAGGACAATAGAAATCATGCACCTGCTGTTCATTTTGAGGAACCTAGATAGTTAAACAAATATTTATTTGTTTAAAAAGGGAGAAAAAGTTGATGAAAGGGGCTTCAGGCTCTCACTAACACATGAAATAAGCCATGCATCTACAACCTAAGGCAAGATGACACTAAAATCATCCTGCAGTGAACATTAAAACACACTCATTGTACTTTGAAGCAGATCCCTTCCAGTGATGCTCATGGGCGATACATGCTTTTATTTTTAGATATTTTTCCCCCCTTGAGCGTCTCTAAGGATGCAATCTTTGAGAAAGCAAACCCTGAGTCCATATTTACTATAAATAAGCCTGTAGCTAAACTACTCCTTCTACTTCTAACCTTGCCTTTGTTGTTGCGTTTTTCTTTCTGATTAAAGTGCAGAGTCCCCGCTTTGAAGATAAACTCCAAAAGGCCCCATTAATCAGGACACATGCATACAAACAGCACCCTGTCAAGTCTTACCTCCTCATGAAGTATGGCCTTACACATGGAGTAGTTCCCCTTCAGCGCCCACGTCCCATTTGCAAGACATTTCCTATAAACGTTATCTGCACAGAGAGCAGGACAAGAACAAACAAGAGATTATTAATAAGAGCTCAAGTGACTTGTTTTTCAATTGGGGTCATATTTTAGCACCTGGTTTAGAAATTTAACATACACCAAGAGAAAAATAAATGGCACCCTTAGCGAAGAATGAATAGTTCTTTAATTCCAGCAGCATAATATCACTCTGAAAATGAAATTTAACCCTGGATATATTTGTGTCATATAAAAAGTTTCACAATTATTGGCATACCTGCAATCAATCTCATTTAACAATTAGCAAAGTTGGAACATAGAGAGATCTCCTAATCTTATCCCACAGGTTTGATTTGGCATTTAAGGTTTTGGGCATAAATAATCCATGGAGGTAGTTTCAATTTGAGTCAGATGAACAATTTTTATGCTCTTTCATCCATAAGATTTCATCTTTTTGTTGAATGAATAAAGAGCTCATTCTACTAGGCGTAAGTACAAAAACAGCTGGCCGTCAAAACGTCTGCATTTATAATATATTTATAATATGTGTGCAGCTTTTCCCATTATGGCTCCAGAACATGCAGCATTGGATGTTGCTTCAGCAGGGTGTTAATGTCTTTATTTATATATATATATAATTTTTTTTTTTGTATGTACATTTACTACCTGGGAATTCAATTAAATGTTGAACCTTGTTTGGACTGAGAAAATGATTTATGCAATGGCAAAAAATGTCAGAAGGGATACTGGGGTGTTATGTTCTCAAAGGCAGACACATTATAGTTTTATTTTAATTTATTATTCTAGCTCTTTCATAGCTGACTAAAGGTTGTCCTAAAATATTTGAGTGCATTACATTTTCCAACTTGGTTTTCTGTTCTGTTTGATTTTCCAGAAGAAAATATACTTCAGCTTTTATTTTCTCCATGAAATTCATATGGTACTGCAATAAAATGACAGTTTCTTCTTAAGCTTTTTTTTTTAAATTTCAAGTTCAAATTTGTCCAAGTCTCTAAAATGCAATTCTGCTATTTTGTGTCGTTGTGACCTTTTTTGGCTTTTGATATTAACACGAAAAGATGTCATTAGAGGTATTTGGAAAAGCTGTGATTTTTCACACGTTTGCTGTCAAGGCAGTGTACCACTATGTGCCTCAATTCTGTCTTTAAAATGCACTTAGCCCTGATTCATTCACAAAATAACCTGTAGCCTTAATTACTTTCAACCTATTGCCAACCATCAATCCTATTGAATTACAAAAACGGCCAAAAGACAATTAGATCAAGCTTTATTTATTTCCTGGGAGGATTAAAAAAAATGAAACACACCACTGAATACAGCTGCTTGAATACTGCAAGGAGCTGGGATGATGGAAATAACAAATGATGAGGAAAATTCAATTTTTCAAGCAGGCTTGCTGGATCATAGCTCAGGAAATGCAATAAATGAAATAAATGAAAGCTGACATCCTGGATCTGAAAGACAAGATGAAGAATCATCTGAGCTAAATAAGAGTTGTTTTTTTTTAGATGTATCGATTAATTTAAACCAGTTAATTCTTGTATCTGATGCCTGGAAATCAAATAAACTATTTTTTTTTGTGGTACCTTAATGTTTCCGTCACTAAAAGAATCATATCATACAGTAAATAACAAGAATGTTTTCAAATCCTGCTTTAATATGTTAAGAAGAAAAAAAGCTATCCAATCCAACCAATATAAAAGTATTCACTCCATAACTGATGGTTACCAGGCATTTAGTCTTTTTTACATCACTGTTCAGGAAGTCGTTTTCTAGACCAGTCAGAGAAAGACTTTCCTGTGTGAGTCGGATTATTGTCCTGCTGCATAACTTAATAATGCTTGAGCTTAGGCTCACCAACTGATGAACAAATATTTTCCTTCAGGAAAACTGATGGTCTCAGCCATTACAGTAAGTCATCCAAGTCCTGAAGCAGTAACGCAGCCCCGACCATCATGTTAATACTACCATATTTGACTATTAAAATGATGTTCTTAACATGACATTTTTTGTTAGATTCATGGCAGATCTTTAAGTATTCCCACCCTCCATAAAGTTCAGCTTTTGTCTCCTTCACTCCTTGTATGATTTGGCTGACCGGCTTCGCAAAAGGTTCCATGTTTTCTCCTTGAGTGAATAATGGCTCTTTCTTTGATTCACTGCAAAGCTTCGAAAATGTCTCTGGAACTCCCTCCAGACCAATAGATGTCAGTGACTCTGCTTCTGATCTGCCTATAATGTCCAAAACATTATTTGTTAATTACCACAATTCAGCTCTTCAGTTGTATTACTTTATACCACAGATGTCAAACTCTAGGCCTCAAACACAATGTCCTGTGACTTCAAGGTGCATCCCTTTGCCGACACACCTGAATCACACATTTATATATTCAGCAGAAAAATGCCGAACCTGAGTGCATGAGGAGGTGATTCAACCCTTTCATTTAGGTGTGTAGGACTTAAAGGTTTAGTGGAGGATTTTTCATAATGTTTTAAATACCGGCCTTCTCCACTTTTATTACATGAACAACCCTATACCAGCTCCAGAGAGGGAACGCCTATTAAGCATGTGCAAGAGCATGCACACGCCAATTTCTCCTCATGCATGCTTAGTTTAAAAGTTGCTTTTTGCATCGCTCATACAAGCTTACTTTCCAAATGAAGATTTGCAATTTTTCCACTATGTCAGACTCACCATCAGTAAGTGAAATTGGGGACGAGCATGTAGGACGGCCTTACGTAAACATAACAACAGAATGATTGACAATTAGGAGGAGCACTTATTTTGAGGATCCACTCGGAAAAAGAACATCCTCCAATATACCTTTAAGAAAGATCAGCAAAAGGGTAGGACACCTGCCCTGGAGGGGTGGAGTTTGACACCGCTGTGCCTTCATGCCGGGGTTGGATAAGTTTCCCCGCAATATAATTTTTATTTGAATTTGATCCTTTTTTCACATAGGTTATATTTCAATGATATTATAGTTTTCTTAGTAGGAAGCAAAACTGAAATAAAGCCGTGAGGGGGTGTGAATACTTTTCCCTGCACTGTAAAGTTCCCTTTTAAATGATAACCTTAAAAATCCAGCATAAATTCTGAGAATGCACTAAAACCCTTTAGTTTCCTTAAAGCAAAAACAGAAACGACAGAAGCATTTGAAAGATTTAACCTTTAGATTTCATCGTAAATCATTCCCTTTCCTCTTACACTAATCAATCTTTCTCACTTATAATCATAAATGTCATTCTGCTAGAGAGCAAATCTTCCTCTCGGGCTTGGAGGGGCGTGAACGTGAACGTTACTTCTAATCTTCATGTGCCGAGTTACTTCTGCCATAATAATGTTAGGCGGTGGCAGCATAAAAAATTCAGCCCAGGTTTCAGAGGGATTATTCATCTTCAGGTCAGGTTCTCTGTCACCCTGGAAGCAGTGAAAGCACAAACGTAGAAGTCGGCAGGTTGACGCTTCGTCCTGCACGGGTACATCTTTCACAGAGGTTTAATAGACAGTTCAGACCCGGATCATGTGGCGGGTCATATCCATGGACCGTCAAATGTCTTCTTGGTGACAGTCAGTCATTTCTGGGTGGCTGGGGAGGTTATAGAACACCATGTATAAAGGTTTGAAAGATATCAAAGGAAATAATACCTTTTTGTTTCATCCTTTAGCATTGCAACAACATTCCCTTCAGAGATAAGCTCTTTAGAGGAGGATATATGAAAAATCCCATCATGATGAAGGTGAATACCTTAGATGGAAGCTGATCACCCTGAATGCATGTTTTAATAAGTAGGAATGTTTGGGGCGGCCAGGGGATAAAATGGGATTGGGTTACCAGAGGGCATTAATGTTCAATGAGCTGGGTAAAAATAGCAGGTTGACACTGTAAAGGGACTGTCAGACCCAATCAAGATTACCTGGCTCGTGATGTTCCCTAAACCACAAATGCAATATCCTAGAGAGCCTTAAAGTCTGCCCGTGGAGAATTATGTCAAAGTCAGAGCAACATTGTGTACTGAATGGTCTTTAAAAAACAAACTCATAAAACATGAAATTAATTTCAAAATATATTTTAAAAGATTGGATTTTAGAGAGAGAAAAAAAAAGTTCACAATCTGGGTTTCTAATCTATATCTTATTTTTAAGCTCTTAATTTCCTTGAAAGAAAAATTTTTTATTCTGCTTTAATTTCCTCGCCGGACCCGTTCTCCATAAAAATCCATGATTTTCACCTTTTATTCAAGCCACATTTACATAACATTGCAAGAGTACACAACTTCCCTCAGGGCTCTTGCTCACACTTCATGCAAATATATCGCAGTTGAAGCAATAGAGTCACATTGTGTCCCATTTAGAAAAACAAAGATAGCTCACAAAGTAATTGCAAACAAAGATTGCGACGTGAAGGTCATATAGGCAGCTGCATGCTGTGGAGGTATGGCACTTGTTAAAGAAAAATCACAATTACACTAAAAATTGCAGCTGCTTCCATTATTTTATTTCCATTTTTTAGATGACTTGTTTTCCTCCCGGCAAAAATGTTATCTCCTTATTCTCTGGCTGCTGGACGCTACAAGTCAACAGGCTAATGAAAGGGAATTCCCACCCCCCAAAAAAGAGAAAAAAAAAACTGTTTCAGAAAGCATTCTTCTATATCAGGGTTATGCATCATTCTTTTTGTCATGATTGTGCCCTTTGAGGACTTCTGTTTAAGTTCCCAGTTACACTTTGACTTATGTTATTCTGTGTTTTCTTGATGATGGGTTTCTTTTCCCTTTTGTGTCTCCTTACCTTAGCTCCTTCTAGTTACTTCTGTCTACACCTGCTCCCTATCAGCTAATTAGTCCTCCAATTGTTTCTGTCTCCTATATTCACACCTCCTGTTCAGTTACTCTCTGCTGGATCCCTGTCTTTCTTTTGGTTTATTCCTTCCTCTTGTTTCCTAACGTTTTTGTTTCTTGAATTTTCCTTGTTGATCAGTTCTGGACTTTGGATTTTGTATTTTTA